CCCCAAAACCCCAAAACCCCAAAACCCCGTATTAGGTGTTACACATATTCGTGAAAAAATAGAATTAATCTAACTAAAGAATTTTATCAGATTGATATAAGTATTTAAAAATTAGAATATTTGATGATAAGAGTCGGAGACTATATAGACGGAAAGTTCAGTATTAAAAAAAAGATAGGGAGTGGAGCTTGTGGTAGCGTATGGCAAGCATAAGATAAATAAAACATGACTAATGTGGCAATAAAATTTGTAACAATAAATCAATTCATAGTCTTTTAGTTTCGGTTAAGAGAGGTATTTCTTACTGAATTGAAGATATTAAAAGAAATTGCAAATGCTAAATAAAAGAGTAATTTTTAATAATGTTATTTTTTGCTAGGTGTGCTCCCTTCATATATTAGTTCTGGATTATACAAGAGTTAACATTACATTGTCATGAATGAACTTGGAATGAGTTTATAGCAGTTGATTTAAACTAGGACTAGTTTTCTAACTCCAAAGTCTATAAAGCAAATTATTATTTAGTTAGTAAGTATATCATGGACCTTATTAAGAGCTATAGATTAACAATATAAAAGGACTACATGACACTGGATTTTGCCACAATGATATTAAGCCTGACAATATCTTACTACTATCATCTAACTTTGAAAAAGCAGATTCATCGTTTGTTACTCTTTGCGATTTTAGTGCATCCTAATAATTCGAAGATAACAATCATAAACATTTTGAGCTTAATATTTCAAGTGAATTTAATGGAAACTTTGCATATAGTAGCAAAAACCAAATGCTAGGAGTTTGTAATATTTCATTATCTAATCTATTTAGGTTAATCCACTAAAGAAGACATGATTTCAATTTTTTATTTGGCAATATTTCTGACCGAGGGGAATTTGCCTTGGTTTGAGAAGATTAATTTTTCCAGTCATCATGATGCCTTCAAAAAGATCAGAGATCTAAAAAAAACTTTTCATATGCAAATCAATAGATCAGTAGAGAATTGTAATATTCTTTCTTACTCATTCAATTTAGGTGTTTATCGAAAACTCATAAAGTATTTAGACAGCGTAGAGTATGATTTGCGTCCTGACTATTCTTATTTAGTTGAAGAAATAGTCTAAAGTCTACCTAATAAGAGCAATGATATTGATTATATAATGGATTGGTCGAAGACTTCAAGCAAATGGTTTTACTCTCTAGTATAACTACAGAATAAACTAACATAGAACTAAGTAACAAGCAATTACCTGGACAAAAGTTAAACAAAACACTAAAAATGGCTTTTAAAATCTTCAAACTTAAAAGATTAATCATTGACAACTCTAAATACTAATAAAAAATCATAAATCTTCCTTGAAGAAAACTAGTAAAGAAATATACAATCATTTGCTGGCTCGGCCATATAAATTTCAAGTGCGAAACTAAATGCTTAAAATCTAGGAGTAATCTTAGTTGATAATGACAAAGATTTTGGTAGTTTAGTCGTGAAAAAATAGAATTGTTTAAAAAAGGACTTTGCTTTGGAACTAATAAAAAAAGCATAATTGACAGAGGACGATAAACCCATATTTAATCACTAAAATGAAAAAGACAAATAATTGATTAAATTGCGATTTTAAAGTTGTCTTGATAGGGATTAAGAATCCGGTGAGTTTTCACATGAAAATTTTTAAAATCAATTCTCAAAAATGCTTATAATTCAAGATAGGAACTAATTCTATCATAGTGATGAGTTAATTGTGGAAGAAGACGATTCTTCCGAAGATGAAGAGAATGATATATCTCCATATATAAGAAAAGATTCTAATATTAGACGGTTCAGTAAACTTCAAAACATGGTAATTGAAATCGATGAGTCAGAATTTTATCTAGACGACATCGATGAAGAAATGCTAACATTCCAGTAGAAAATTTCAACTTTCGAAAGTTTTAATGAAAAATTCGAGCCTCATACAAATGAGCTATCTTGTCTAAGCAAAGCAATATGATTCAAATTTATAAGTAGGGGTATACTATTTCAATGATTAATTTAGAACTCACTCAGTTATATTATTTAATTGCTAATATAAACATTTTAATCCACTTTACCTGAATCATCTTTAATAAAAGTAAAGGGGTTTTGGGGTTTTGGGGAGATCGGAAGAGCGTCGTGTAG